AAGAGGTGTTGGAAAGGAAGGTCGTGGCGGAGGCGCAGGCCATGGAGAGGAGGATGTTGAAAGCGGCGGGTGAAAACGACGAGACGGTGCCAAAGTTCACGATGAACACTGACAGCGACCATGGGGAGGAGGACGAGGAGGAGGAAGAAGGCAACATCATGGACGACTTAGAACTTTCCTACGAGGGCTTGGAGTTGTCGTCCTTGATGCCACTTCCCTCAGCAGTCAGGCTGGCCGCGGGCCACATCTCGGACCACGAGGCGATGTCGAAGGTAGACATCCCGGAAACGGGCTTCCTGGAGCGAGGAGGTGTGGAATTCGGCCGCTGGACACGGCTTTCTCCCAGTGGGAATGCAGAGTGGACGGAAGAAGAGCTGGAAGCGGAGTACGGCGAGCACCTCCGTAACTTGGAGAAAGTCCTTCTTGAACTTCGCCAGGAGCAGGCAGAGCAAGCGGAGGAGCGACGCTGCCAGTCGCGGCTCGCCGCCCTCAAGCAGAAGAAAAAGGAGGAGGCCGCAGCGGCAGCAGCTGCTGCGCGAAATCGTTTCCCATGGATCCTTGGGAAGTGGATGAGGCAGGAGAAGGCCGAGGCCCCGACGCCAAAGGTGTCAGTGGTGTCCGGCTTCCGCGCTTTTTCGCCGTATGCGGCCGTGTGTCGTAAGTACACAGCGCTCGCTTTTTGAAGCGAGTGCTCTGCACTGCACGTTGTCATGGTCGCACAGCTTCTAAACGCTTCTAAGCTGATTAGGCTTTGTCATGCTTTGTTTTCTACGCATGCAAGCGGTCCACCAATGCACATTCGTCCGCCAAGAATCAAAACCGACTTGCGAGCTCAAGCTTTGTCTTTGTGCCGGACTACTTCTAGCCCGCAGCATCGAAACTAACAGAGACATGAAGTTGGCAGGCGTGGCTGAAGCATACATAGCAGACAGGCAGAGTGCCGTTTCGACGGCCACCAGCTCGTCGTTGCATGCTATGTAGCACCATTTTTGTGGGGTTGTAGAAGGCTCCAATGACGGAGTCAGACGGTCACCGTCGGAATCACACAGACCACGGAGCGTCCCCAGACCGCCGGTGCCCAACAGGTCATCCCGAGCACGCCAGGACACCGAACAGCTGATTAGAGAGTGCCGGGTTCAGAGTTGTGGTGTTCAGAATTGGGGGGGTTAGGGTTTAGGGATGCTTAAGGTGTGAGCGTTCAGTCTTGGGGGTTTTGGGTTGAAAGGATTTTCATGTGTTAGGCTTCAATGGCGGGGGTTTAGGTTGAAGGTTCGTGTTGTTGGGAGATAGTGCAGTGTTCAGGTTCACAGTATCGGGTTCCAAGGTGCAGGGCTTTGTGTCAAAGGTATAAAGCCCTGGTCATACTGCGACTGGCTTGAAGGGCTCTTCGAATTTGGGGTGGACCGATGCTGATAACGACCTACAACATGTGCGGTACGATGGGTGAATTGAATCGCACTCCACAAGCCTGCTCTGATTGCTTGCTAAATAGCCCGCAATGCCTATAAACTCCCATAAACCTTAATTCCCAAGACTCCAAGGGATGACTTGCCACGGGCATCCGTCCTTTATACGCTCAAGGTTTAGGGCTGAATACTTTGCGGAGCGATGTCAGTGTTACATCTACAGTGGTATGCCGGAGCCATGAGAAGGATCCCAAGACTGTGAATGCTGGAGACTCTGATTCCCTAAAGCCTAAAGCCCTAAACCCACCCGATCCCAACAGCCAGAATTCCCATACCAGGCGCTGCTGGGATCCGTACGGCGCTGAACCGACCACACTCCTAAACCTTCAACCCCTGATACCCTTATCCGAAGGGCCCTAACTAAGCGGCCTAAGCGACAGGAGCAGGATCAACATCTCCCGCATCGAAGGTTGGAATGTCGATCTGGACACGTGCCTTTGCAGGCCCGAAATACGATTGGCCTGATCCGTTCTCTAGCTGTTTCTATGCTGGTTCAATTAGGGTATCGACGTCTTAAGGGTTTTTTTAGGGTTAACGGTTTAATGGGGCTTGGGGCGTCGTTGGTTTTCGGGAAATCTTTCGTTGTATTCTTAAAATGGCACAGGAATTGCAACCACCAAGACAGCCCAGTCAATGTTTGAGGTACCCTGAAAGCCGTAGTTGTTTCCGGTGATCAGGACCTAAACCTCCGCAAATCCAGAGGTTCGGGACCCTGACCCTGAAAAGCCTGAGCTCCTAGCCCAAAAAAGCCGAAGCTTGAAGCCCAAACAGAGACCGAAGCCCTTCCCCGAATTCCTAAACCCGAAACCCGAGTTCCTGACTCCCAGAAACCCTGCGCCGGAGCCAGAAGGTTCTTCATCGGGTTCTCTCTACGGAGACTCTTGGGGCTCAGGATTTAGGGCTCTGAAGGGTCGTCCTACTAGTGCTTCAAGGCAGCTACCTCTTCTCCCAACCCCGGTCTTTCGGCGCCTGACGTATTTCTAGTTAGTAGCATCTCCATAGGGCTGAGAGTGAAGATGTGGGTCAAAATCTAACGGTGCTTAGATTGCGCGTTTCGGCTTTGTTGGGCTGAGGATGTCGTCTTGATTTGACTACGTCTTTATGAGTACTCCGACCCGGTAGTATAGCACCATCATGACGTTCGCATTAGCGCCTCAACGTCGCCTCAGGCTTGGTGGGTAAGCTGACCGGTCCGAAGTGTCGGGCCCTTCGAGACGGATGCGCGGAACCAGTCCGAGCACAACGTAGCTAGGCTTTGCGACCCGGCCTTCCACCCAGCCGGCTGATTGCAAGAGACCAAGATGCATCAAGAGATCCCAACTTCATCCCGGCGCTGCGAACTTCAGACGTGGCACTGTCGAGGTCTGTCTACCCTGGCCCTCAACCGACTGATATCCGCCGCTGCAGTTCGAAGCCGAAGGGATCGACGACATCTTCGTGGGAAAGGGCTCTCCGCCGGTCGGCCACCTGCCTGACGATGTGAGTCGTTTTCGACGGGCGGCTGCGGCAGCAGTCGCACTACAGGTAGAAGGCTGCTGACAATTTGTTCATCACTGCCGTGGCTCATAATTTTTACCCCGGTTCCTGTTATTGGCTCCTGTCGCATACGAGTTGCTGCAGATTCCTAGCAAAGGAACAGCACTCTCAGCTTGTTTATCCGCTGGACTTGGGCCATGGGGCGGTGATGATGTTGCTGGGAGATTTCTTTCATACCTTAGGCATGCAACTGCCGAGGTCTATTTCGGAGGTAAAAACGTTGCACGCTCCCTGTGTCTGCTATGCTTCCATGTCTGATGACTGACATGAAAACATCCACTGCAGGAGCATTGCTAGAGGTCACGTGGGTCGGAATGCACCTGGCACAACCAAACTGCGTAGTCCAACATAGCCCTTAGTCCCGCCATTGTGAAAGCAAAACGAGCCATCCCGATGATAATAGTCTGAAACAGGCCCAAAACGCCGCAAGTGATTGTGCCCATGCCTGCCGCAGCGTTTCTTTGAAAGCCAGCTTGGGGAAGCGGCCGTGTAGGGTCGCGGTGGGCAGTGGTGCGGGTCTCGGAGGTGCTTTTGGGTTTCAGGGTTTCAGGTATCGGCCTTTTGACGTTAAGCTGTTATCCTAAACCCTAACCCCTAAACCCTAAAACCCTAGAACCCTGAAACCTAAACCCTAAACACTATAAACCCCAAAACCCTAAACCCCAAAACCCTAAACCCTGGGGCTGCAGGCTGTAAGGTTTCAATCGTTCAGGCTTAAGCCTGGGGAGTGTACCGGTGCCTTGAACCCTACCAATAATTCAAGGTTCGAGTCTTCGGCTTATGTTTGAGGTCTAGGAAGATGAGATGATAGCTTGCGAGTGTGTGAAGACAGATGGGACGAGATTCGAGAACGAGCACATTAGGGCGCTTAGGGACACAACAAGTTCGGTGGGGGCTGCCCATATGGAAACTTGAAGAATGCTGAAGCTGCAGCGGACTTCCGTCCCAACTGCGGACGCACTGATAATCCAAATTTATCTCAACAACATTCTAAAGTATAGTACATCATGTTATATCATATGATACTTTATTTAACTCTGTCATATTATTTACATACAATTATGTATATATATACTCACAATAACCTAGGTAGCTATACCCATGAGATCAGGCTACGACTTCCTTGGGCCTCTTAGACCGGTCTCTCTCAGGTCATGCAGATCGTGGCTCCCGCCAGATTTCTGGATGGCTCACGCCTTGGAGAGTGCGCTGACAAGTTGCATGCGTGAATTGCGTGTATGTGGATCAGGTCGCCCCCAAACCCTGTAACTTCTATAAGCTCCACTGATGAAACTCTACAAACCCTAAATCCTACAAACTCTCCTTTTGAAGTGCTGAGGTGTGGTTTTTGCGGTATTCTTGCTGTTTGTGTCTGGCGCTGGGCTTTTCATCTTCGGCGAGTTCCACAAGACCGCGTGTCGTGTGCTTTTGTTCGGTGGGCTGCATGCGTCTGGGATCATGATGTGCAGGGTGTAGATATTCTGAAACAGACGCAGGATGTGCGTCATCACGGAGGCGAAGAAGTTGGGCATGTTTGCAGACATTATGGATAAGGCGCCCCGCTGCGATGCGTCGTTGGATTGTGTTGCTTTGAGATGTGCTGCCAAAAGTAAATAACATTCCACCCAAGCTAAAACTTCGAACCCCACATGTCCCTGGCAAACCTCCGTGTTTTGCCAACATTGTCTCGATCCTATACTGCGAGCCGCAACTTAAGGCTCAGGGCCCAGGGTATAATTCTAGGAATGGGGGCTGAAACCCTAAACTCTAAACCCTAGAGCCTAAAGGGCTCAGGGCCATCGGATTTCGGATTTACTTCGGGGTGTTGGAGACGCTTCTCTTCCTCGGGCTCCGGGAGGTGTTGGGGTCAAGGTTTCGTTCCATGAGCTCCTAGAATTGGGTTCTTTCGAGATTCTATAAGTCTACGGGTTAGTTACTAGAAGGCTTATAAGGGTTACTACAAGGGTTCCGGTATAGGGGCCCTAGTGATGATTTTCTTGGTTTAGATAGGGACGACTGGACGAAGGAGTAGTAGCTCAGACCATTGTGGCAGTGGCCTTCGAGCCCTCAAGTCACCAAGCCGCTTGGAGTGTTGAGGTGCTTGAGTTGAGTTGCAATAGCAGCAACAGCAGGAGAATGCCTTTTCATTTGTGGCGGTGGGCACTGGCAGTCCTGAGCACCTGACGCTTACTCCAAGACCTTTCAATGCCCAGGTGCATAACTACACTAGCAGTAGCCCAAGTGGGCTGAGGGTTTGGGGTAAAGACCCCAACCGCCAAAGCAAAGCCCCTAGACCCTTCTGCTCATTCAGGCCCCCTGACCTCAGGACCGCAAAACAGGCATAGATGCCACAGCTGGAAGCTGACTGAAGCCCACACCCGAAACCCTAAGCCCGAAACCCCGAAGCGCGAAATCGTAAGCCCTGAGCCTTCAACCTTATACCGAAAATCTTGAGCTCTAAGCCCTAAGCTCCAGAGTCAAACTCCACACCCCACCCCTCGACCACAAGCTCTCAACCCCAAAAGCCCCAAAAACCCCAAAGCCGAAGCCCTAAACCCTAAACCCTAAACCCTAAACCCCAAACCGAAACCCGCTCGCCGACCCGCTTCTCAAGCTCTCCAGCCCGGTGCCAGGACTACCGGAGCTTTGGGGGTTTTCGGGTTTGCTACAAAGGCTCCAGAAGACTTCTAAGGGGGTTTCTATAATAATACTAATAATAATACTACTAATAACAATAAAGATAGTAATAATAACAATAAGAAGAATAATAATAAGGGTTTAGGGCGTCCCAAAGCAGATTCGGATCTGAATCCTGGAAGCAGCGCTTCGGGGTCTAGGATGTGACTTGACATGAAGCCGTAAGTTCTTCAACGCCGACTCATTCGACAAGGCACCGCAGACAAGTTTCACCAACTCAGCAGCCCCGATTCTGGATCCGGCCCTGATTGCAGCAGGGTCGTTGCTCTGAAGGTCCTTCTGCAGGCCCGAGCCCGAAACATAAAAAGCCCCTAGGGTTTTGGGTGTATATTGTGCTATAAGTATTATTCTAATTATTAAGGCCTCTACACTAATCGCATTCCTTCAGCGCTAGCGCCCTCCTGCGAGAGCTCTCGGGACGGCCGGTGGGCGAAGATCCACAAGCAGATGGGAGCCGGCGCCCCAAGTGTTAAGGGTTTAGGGTTTAGGGCTTAGGGTTTAGAATTTAGGGTTTAGGGTTCAGCGTTAAGGGCTTAGGGTTTAGGGTTTAGGCGATCGCAGCTTGGGGTTGACGAACCCATCAGGGTTCTTTAAACTTCCATTTTCAATCGACCCCAGTTAATATCGGGGGCCTTCACAATTACCAATACCATCTTCGGGGGCCTTTTTAAAGTATAGCATAATGGGCCCCAAAACCCTGTTCGAACTATTAAGGCCCCTTTATTAGGCCCTCTATCCTACCCATTCAGGGACCGACAGAGGGGCCCCTAGACCCCTTAAAAACCACAATGACAACTGCAAGATAAGCTTGTGAAACGCCTTCATCCCTAAACCTCAGAGGTCGTGAATGAGGACAAGCCCTAAACCCCTACAGAAACTCCAAAACTTACCAGGACCCCCCCCCCCCCCAAATTGCCCTTCAATAGGGCCCTTATGGTCCTGAATAGAAAAAGTAGGTATTTAGGTGAAATAAGAAGGTAGCGGGGGGGTCCAGGTACACCCCAAACACTAAGCCCTGAACCTTAAACCCTCGAACCAAAAAGCTTGGATACTGCCCCCACGCAGTAACAGTTGAGAAATATCCAGAATATGGCTATATAAGGCCCTTAAAAAGTAGCCCGATTCTAGACTGTTACTGTGTGGGGGCAGTACCCAAGGTTTATGTTTTCGGGTTTCAGGCCTTTGAGTTTTGGTTTATGGTTTAGGGTTTAGGGGGCAGTACCCCCCTACAAAAAGCCGAGGTCCTGCGAGATGTGGCCTTCCACGATCCCGGGCCCGGCCTCCTAGTTCATTGCACAGGATATGGGGGGTGCCCATATGGAGTTTCAGGGTCATGTGAGGGTTTAGGGTTTAGGGCCTCCTAGTTCATTGCACAGGATATGGAGTTTTAGGGTCATATGGGGGTTTGATATTGACTTTTGGGGTTTTGGGGGTCCATGGGGAGGGGGGAGGGTTTTTATATAGCTGCGTTAAGGCTTTCACTAGGCTGTTTCCCCTTCTACGTACTTCGAGGGTGTTGGTGGGTTTCTTGCTGAACGGGTTCCTTTGCAGGGGTTGCGTGTCTTAAGGATACAGCTATGTGGGGTTGAAGTTAGGATCCGCTCTTTTCTGAAACACCAGGGGAGGCTGCGTTCGAGATTGCGGGGCCCAGCACTAAAGCAAGTCCTGAGATGGGATTTAAGGGTTCAGGGTTCCGGGCGTATGGGTTCAGGGGTCTTCAGGCTTCGGGGTTTTCGCAGTTCCTTGGGGCGTGGAACTGTGGGGTTTAGTTGCTTAGAACCCTAAACCCTAAGCCCTAAGCCCTAAACCCTAAACCCCAAAGCCCTAAACCCTAAAACCCTAAACCCTAAACCCTTAAAATGTTAGGGTTTTGGGTGTGGCTCTCAGGGTGCGAGCTGTGGGGGCTCTTTGAGCCGTCGGTTCTCAGTTCTCCGGGAGTTTGTCTGATCTCAGGCTTTAGGTTCGGGCTTGGGTCAAGGGTTTAGGGTTTAGGGTTTGCCACTTTAAGCCTTTAAGCCCTTCTAAGCCCTAACCCTCAATTGACCCCCAGGCCTAAAGCCCTAACCCTAAACCCCTCAGGCGCCGTGGATCCCGAGGCCATCCTCCGGAGATGCATTTGGGCTTTGGGCGGCATCTTTAGTGAAGTTGTTGTTCTTCTGCATCTATCTCTTCTTGTGAGTATGACTATGGTTGGTTTGTCCCGAAATGTGTACACCCACATGTTGTCAATTGTCTTCTACTGGGGTTTAACATTCGGTTCATCCGGGCTCTTCTAGCACCGCAACCGTTGAATTTGTTGCACCGAGTTTAGGAGGGCGTAGGGTTTTTGAAATCTTACTTGGTCAAGTAACCAGGGTTTCAGGCTTTAGGGCGTTGGTATTGGGGTTCAGGGTGAAGGGGAACCTAAAAAACCCTAAAGCCCTAAGCCGTTCCAAAAGTAGCCTCCGGCTTGCTCCAGGGACTTGCAGAGGTTTGGAGCCGGCAATATGGAAGTCCTGAGTATCAGTGTTCCCTTACCTTCCCTTTAAAGGGTACATGTCTAAAACCCTAAACCCCTAAACCGTGAACCCTAAACCGCATACCCCCAATCTACTCTAGGTAACCCTTTTAGAGTCGGATTCTGGAACCTTGGGACTAAACCTTCAGTGCTTGTTTTGCACGGGTTCCTATTGTTATTGGAGGTTTTAGGGTTTGGGGTTTAGGGGTTTAGGGTTTAGGGAGTTTAGGGGTTTAGGGTTTAGGGCTTGGGGTTTATAAGGTTTAGGGGAGGCCTACTTTAATGGTTAAACCACAGCGTGAGATGTAACGCAGGGTCTCCCCTCTTGCCGCCCATATTGAGTTGTAGCGTGTTATGCTAGAACATAACCCCCCCCAGACCCATGCTGTCTCCATATAGTCACTGGATGTCTACCGTATGTTCCACCACAGAAACAAGCTACTGAGCGTAGTACGGTGGCCGGATGTGCGGTTTGTGTGGATGCTGGTACTGCGACCTCGAGCTTCACAGTTGTATCTGAAGCATTAACTCTCATTATCCCTTTAGGGTTTAGGATTTAGGGTTAAAGGTTTGCTAGTAAAGGACATCGTAGTCAAGCAAATTTCTTGGGGCTGGAAGACCCGGGTGCATCTTCGGCAGGCGGCGTGGCTTCTGCATTGACGCAGGACGCTGCCGCTTCTTTGCACAATCTGGCCCTAAGCACCCTAACCACTGAATCCATGCGGGCCACAAATCTTGCAGCAGATCTGCACCGAACCTCAAACCAGGAGGGGAGCTATCCAGGGATGTGATCGCTTCAAGCCTCAACTTGTTTTGGTCCCTGCCAAAACTCCCTAAGCCCTAAAGTCTAAACACAAGCTTGATATCCTAAACCCTAACCCTGAACCTTAAAGTCTTCAAGGTTACCTTGGCCCGCAAAAACCTACCTTTCTAAGGACTTATAGAAAGGCATCATAATTGATAAGGAACCCTAAAAAGGTCGGTGCTTTATAAGGTCCAGGTACACCCTCAACCCCAAACCCCAAACCCCAAACCCTAAACCTCAAAGAAGCGCCCTCCGCCCCAATGAAGGAGCGCCATGCCAGGGAGCTGCCCTGGGACAGACGGGACCCTCAGATCTCTTTCGAAAGGCCTTGGGGGTTTAGGGTTTAGGGGTTCCGGCTCCATTTATGGGTTACCAGGCGTAGGGGTTTGGGGGTTATTTGGGTCTACGGTTGTTTGGGTTTGGGTTTGGGCAGTTTGGGCTGCTACTGGTTTTTGGAGCTGATTTTGGGGGCTTGGTATATTATGCCTTACGGTGCCGTACTATCAGTATACCATAAAAGGAGCCCCAAGACCCCATTCCACTCATTGAGGCCCC